TGGGAAGGAATTTTTTTTTTCCTTTTTTTTTTTTTTTTTTTCTTTTGGGCCTATAACAGGTGGCAAATCTTCCACATAAAATATTTGGGTTACATTTTTTCAGTCTATGTCCTTACTTTATGGCCAATAATAGAATAGATCTCCAGAAAGGAGAGATGTACAGTTGCTGCCTATTTTAAAAGATGCCCTTCTAATTAAAGAAGTATGTCAAAACAGATTCCAAGAAGAATCTTCATGTCAACCAAAGAAATATTTTGAAAGTGAGAATCACTTGGTCTACTTTGCAGTAGGGATTGAGAACAAAGGAAAGGAAAAGAGACAAGGAAGAAATAAATCAGAATCCAAGCTGAAATAAATATAGAATTTTCTAGCTATTATGAAAGAAGAAAACATTTAAACTTAGTTTTCTGGTAAAGCCAAAAGCGATTATGTACATGCTTAAGGTCTTTACCACATTGCTAATAATTGCCATTAGCTTTCTATCAAAGCCAAGCCCCAGAAAAGGAAAAACGAGACCCCCCCCCCACCGAAAAAGTCATAGAGTGCTAAGAATAATGAGTACTGGATAGGGACTTTTGCCATGATACAAATAATTTTATAATACAGTGTGCTATAAAAACGGTGTACAAAACAAAAATACAGTGGGTGCTTGAAGATACCAATGCTTTGTCAGACTGGACTTCACAAACTACAAATAGCTATTTCAAATATAGGCTATTTATTATTACTTGACAGAAACGCAACTACTTTTCCCCTACTGCTTGATAGCAAACAATATTAATTGTGTCCCATCATTTCTCCCAAACTACAATGGCAAAAGTAGATGGAGAAAAACACAACATTGGGAAGAATTTACTTCTTCTCTTAAGTCTACATTGTTCCCTGGGAATTGAGCTCCTGTAGGCCCAGGTTGTAGAAATGAGAGGCAACAAGCAGAATGAGAAGTCTCCAGAAACAAAATGCTGTCTCAACTTGGTTGTCTGCTTTCAAGGATCAAACAAAAAAACATGTTTATAGAAATGGACAGCCGCTCAGTTGGTTTGGATATCCACTTTTTAGACATTACGTTTTTCTCTATCTACCATTCCTAGTTTCTGAGAAGTATCAGAAGAAAGAGTAAAGGCATACATGTGGTTTGAGTCCTAAGTCTCCAGTAGACAACAGCACTACTTTCTCCTTAACCCAGCAGAATAGTCAAAACAAGGTCCGCCATGATGTTTGCTTTGGGCTATCCTCAGAAATGGTTAGAAATTTCTCATCATCAGTATTCAACAAATACTTACTGATGCTGTGCCACATCAACGTTGATATCGTAGATATCAAAATAAACCAGACAAATGAGCCACACTGATAGACAATAGCTAGCTAGATAATAGCTAGATGATCATACATCACACACACAAATAAAGTCACTTTGTAGGTACTGCATATTAAGCTCTACCTCCTAGCTCACCATCTTATAGAGGATAAGGAAATACAAAATTCTCCTATATGCAATTTGGGATGATAGAATATATGACCTGATGTGACATGACTTGGGAGTGACAGGAATAGGTAGGTCTTGGATAGTAGTTGGCCTGGTGGACAGTGGACCATCTAGAGGAATAAGAGGAACTCACAGCCCAATTGGTTTGCATTTTAAGAAACAAAATAAAGGGGAACCAGCAGTTAGCATAATGGCTATGTCGCTGGGCCCCCACGTAGTCGACCGCGGTTCACGTCCTGGACCCGTTGGCTTAAACTCACACTGGGCACGTGTGCATGCATGCCCAAGATCCCGAGAGGAGCATGGAGGCGAAGGGATTGCAGCGTGACCATCCCCTCTGGGGGGTGATTTCTCACTCTCTGTCTCTATGTCTCTCTGTCTGTCTGGTGAGCGCATGTGCCCTATAGCGAAAAACCTCTCCAAAAAAAGAAACAAAATAAAGGGGAACCAGCAGTGAGCATAATGGCTATGTCGCTGGGCCCCCACGTAGTCGACCGCGGTTCACGTCCCGGACCCGGGGGCTTAAAACTCACGCCGGGGGCATGTGCGTGCATGCCCAAGATCCCGAGAGGAGCATGGAGGCGAAGGGATTGCAGCGTGACCATCCCCTCTGGGGGGTGATTTCTCACTCTCTGTCTCTATGTCTCTCTGTCTGTCTGGTGAGCGCATGTGCCCTATAGCGAAAAACCTCTCCAAAAAAAGAAACAAAATAAAGACCTCCCCTAAAATCTATACCATTTGATGAAAGAAAAAGTAATGTCAATATTAATGGAAACACTTACTGTTTGCTCTGCTTTTACATTTATTAAAAATAAAAAGAGGAACAGGAAGAAAACTCAGAGCAAAGCAGAGAAGTTAATTTGTACTAACAATCAAATGCAAAAGAAATTCTAAATATCTGTCAAAAACAAGGCTAAGTGAACTATTTTTGAAGCAACAAAAAAAGACCCCTGGGCAAAAAATTTTTACAGTCATCCTCTTTCTAGGTCGGAACTCTCTTAGAATGAGACAAAGAAAAATCCAGACCTGGAATAAGAGGAAGACACTAGGAATCCATTCACCACACAGACAGAGATTTGTTTGACGAGCAGATGAAAGACTAGAGTAATCACATAGTATAGGAAAAGAGAATGGACTAAAGGAAATAAGTGAAAAATTATGACTCCAGAGTAAAGAATAATACATTTTTAGAATATCCATGAAGTCAAGTTATACAGAAAAGAAAGGAAAAAAAGGAATTATCAGACTATGATAAAGAAAAAAATCATTTTTCATATTTCTCCACAAAAGAAGATTCAGTTTGCTTTGCAAAAATTAAATTTGATATTTTAATGTACCTGAACAAGCACTAAATGAATTCTGGGCTGAAATGAATATTTGAATTACATACCCATTCAATATAACAAAAAATGAGAGTGGGGGGGGGGGGAGAAAGAATGCTTCCACACACAATAAATGACTTGTTTTGGCTTTCCTTTGTTAAGCATAAAAGAAGGGCATCCTTAAAGTGTATAAATAGAACCCAAGAATGCTAGCTGTTTTGTTTTGTTTTAAGGAATAAAAAAAACATCATGGAAAAAAGAATCTTAGGAACTATGCTGTCATTAAAACGTAATTGGACTTGCAGGAACAATTACTGCGCTGTACTGTAAGGGGAGCTGTTGGCACACGAGAGCAAAGCACACGTCTGAGCTCATCCGCCGGCCTCGGCAAGACCCACTTCCAGCTAGAAGCAGTCATGTTTCAACACCTCCGATTCCCTAATGCTGACAAGCTAAACAACTTGTTTTGTCTCTGGGAGCTCTTCTCTGGTGATTAACTGCTTATGGTGAATACTAATTATATGAAAGTACAGTACTGAAAAAGTGGTGTCCTATTTCCTCTACCTGCGGCCTCTACTTCTCTTTGAATCTAGGTAGAGCCACTGCAAAGCAGAAACAGGAAAGACATTTTGCCTCCCTCAGGTAATATATACATCTCCTACTTTACTATAGCACAGCTTAAGGCCCCTCCACCCCAATTCAAAACAAAACAAAACAAAACAAAAAAACCCTCCTCTAACCTTTGGGCTCCAAACCAAATATAATTACAATAAAGTGAGTATTTTAAAGACCTGCAATAATCAGATGGATAAATCTGTGCCAAGAGTTTGTGAATTTGTGAACTATCAGTGTCCTCTAGTCCCCATGTCCCAGGTTGAAAATTTACCCCAAATTGTCAGTTCTTAGGAACTGCACCTCAGATTAAAATCTTCTCGCCAGGGAGTCTATGAGAATTTGTTCTTGTATTTTAAATCCTAAATGCTTGTTAAACCGCCAACACTGCAAAATTAGAGACCATTAAACAATATAAGGCAGCAAGTGATTAAATCTACCAAATACACATTCAAAGCTGCTTAAGCTACTTTTTAATTAAAAATAAAATATCATTGGCTAAATTCAGTTGTCTTAGCTATCCAGAAAAAGTTAGAAAGCAAAATGCTTGTGATAAGGCCAGACAGAAAAGAAGTCCGGTAGGAGGAAGGTTGGGTAGGGCCTCTTGGTCCTCCAGCCAGGGTGGCTGGGCATCCTGCTGCTAACCGGCTTTAGGCAGTGGACATGGAGGGAGAGTCCAGGCTGCGCTGCAGGGTGAGGACGCCATGTGGCTGCTGATTAAATAAGCTTTATTAGCAAAGGCCTCCGAGGAGACAGAGTGTTCCACCTTCTTGGCAGGAAAATGAGTTGAGTAACAGCAACGCAGGAAGCTAAGGCATTAGAGATGTATATGTGGCTGAAGGAAATGTTAGTGCTATTTTTAAATACAGCTTAAGCTAATTGATAAACATTTCTTGAAATAATTATTAGTTTTGGGGGAAGGAGGGATGGGGGTTTTTGAGTTAATGGGATCACTTAAGATTGAAAGAAATTTTTATTGTAAAGTTGGAAGTAAATAAACCTTGTAGCTTTAAGTTGTTCCTACTTGTTTAAAGTAAAGAAAAGAAAAAGGGCCAGGGGGCTTAGTCAACTTCAGGCAGGGGGCCAAGAATCTGAAGATCAGACTTAAAGCTGGGATGATATCATTCACTCTGAGACTCTGAAGCATGAGAAAATTTACTGGTAAAAACCTTACCTCACCCACAGTTTTCTTATTTTTAACTCTTATTTTTTTCTCTAGAGAATAATTTTCTAAATATGCTTTCTGCCTTATATGTAAATGTTATGAATTTACTTTTAGCTTCAGACATGGTCTTACCTAAAAAGCTTGCCCTAAAGTAAAGTACAGGCACTTGGTAGCTGCAGGAATATAAGACATGATACTCATATTTAATCACTTCGGACTCCACTGCAGTTTCAGTCATTTCAAAATCATCCAAGGGTAGCTGTAAAGCCTCCTGAAAAAAAGGAAAATGAAAAACAAAATGTGTTTGTAAATTTTAAAAGTACTAAATGGAGAGGGAAAGATGAGATTTTCTTCTTGCACAATAACAGTTAAATAAATATAGGGCTCTGAGGTAAGAAAAAGGGAGTTTCCCATATTAATGTTTAACATTTGAGTCTTGGGTAAATAGTAAAACCAGAAAACATTAGCATTAAGTAATTCCAGATTGTTTTTAAGAGACAAAGCTGCTCTAGGTAAAGAAACAGAAAAGGGAGGGAAAAAAGCCAAAAGATCTATTACAATAGCAACTCTGAAAAATCTTTATTGTATAATTTTAGAAGCAAGATGATGGCTATACAAGCTACCTGCTTCCCTACCTGTGAAAGCTAAAAACATCCTAACAATTGAACAAGAGGCTGTGCAATATCCCTAAAGATTCTATTGTACTTGCCAAAAGATGATTCATTGTGTGCTGCACAATTCCCAGTTCCATTTTGAATAAGAAAGTTATTTTGCAAGAGGTTGAGTTTGTTAGGCATATTTCAAAACCTGTGTGATGATTCTGGGTTTTTTTTGTTTTTTTTTCATTATTGTGCTACCTTTGGTATATCTCTGCAACAAATCTTGATTTATAATAGAGTAGATGGCAAATACTAATGTCAACTTAAACAAGGCTTTGTAAGCCGAGATGATGATAGGCATCTCACTTCTCACCTAATCATTCTTTACTGGTTGATATTTTTATTATGTGTGGGGGTTTCTTAAGAAGGTATCTTAATGTGTAGAAGTAATTAATTGGACATGTTGAGTCAGAGTCTGCTTCCAACCTCACTCACTTATTTATTGGGTTGAAGAATTTCCTTTGAAATTAAATTAGTAGAAGGAATGAAACAGGTTGGTTTGGCTCATTATTACCTCTCATTAAAAGAGTAACAACAATGATGAACAATCAGAAAGAACTGTAGAAAAGGTTTAGAACTTTATCAATATGAAATGAGGTTTCCTGTGGAGATTACTAAAGACAAGACTACTTTCCAGATCTGTATCTCCTTTACTAATTCCCCATTCAGTTAGTTCACTGGGGAGAGATACTACAATACAATGGATAAATCACAACTGGAAATATTTACAAAATAAGTGTCACTGACATATTTAAATACTATCAATGAAAAACAATGGATTAAATAACCAGAGAGAAATCACTGAAATAAATACCCCAGATACAGAAACAATAGAGTAGCAAAAATGGGTTTTTCTGTTAGTTCACTGTTTAATTTGCATTAGGCCTAGGCATCTATATCTGTTTTTTAATATCAATTCTTTTTAACCAAATTCTTTCTCTTGGGCTAACATTGGGTTGTTTAGCATTTATCATTTATTTTCTTTCTTAACATTATACAATATTATATCCTTGTCTTTTGCAAACACTATACAAGTACATAATATGAAAGAAAAGTTTCCATCATAACCACCACTCCTATACCTCAGATTTGCCACCATTTTTAACAACCAGCATATATTTTTCCACTATTTTTTAACTTTTGGCACACAAACATACACACATGCACACACATTTTTCCCAACCCCCACAACCTCCACCCCTGAATAAACCATGCTAGATATACGTATGCTCCTGGAGTTCAGTTTTCACTCATGGAGATCCCACCCCTGCTGCCATGTCAGTGCTGCAGATTTAACTCCTTCCATCAACACCTTCACTACATCCCCATTGTATGACTATGCCAGAGTTCTTGTTTTCTTTCTTTTCATTTTTTTTTTCACATTGCTAGATATTTCAGATTGGTTACAATGTCCTGCTATGACATATAATGCTTCAGTGAATGTTCTAGCTCATATATCCTCACACACCTCTATTTTTCTATCATGCAGATTCCTAAAAGTATTATCGCTGTATGAAAGAGTATATGCATTTTAAATGTGAAGAGACCCTGTCCTCAGTAAAAGGCTGTAACAGGAGCCAGACGATGGTGCATCAGTAAAATGTGACACTCTGTCAGCCAATCCCACATGGGAAGGTCCCCGATTCAAGTTCTGAGATCTCTCTGAGTATGCTGGGCACATGCTTATCAGCACCCTCGAGGGGCACTATCTCTTTCTCTGTGTCTCTCTTGCTCATGAAATAAATAAATCAAAAGGGTCAGCTCCCTGTTCTGGTGGTTAAGCAGCTAGATCCCACATGGTTTATCATCCCATTTAAGTTCCAACCCGGGGATTGAGAAACAAGCCCCAGGCAGGTCATGAGGGCCTGGGACAGATAGAGAAGGGGCTGGTGTGATCATTCCCCATGAATGGTGCTCTCTCCTCTACCTGCTTCTCCACCACTCTCTAGTGTTTGTACACGCCCTCTCACAAAAAAAGGAAAAAAAAAGAAGAAAAAAATGAATAAACTTAATAAGAAAAGAAGTCTGTATCAATTTATAAGTCCCCCCAAAAATCTGAGAATGCCCTTTTCCCATATCTAATAAACACTGAATATTATTTATTTTTAACTTTTGTCTAGTTGATAAAATTTTAAATGTTCATTTTTCATTTTAATTTCTAGTTTCTTGATTACTAGTGAAGGTAAATATCTATTCACATGTTTATAGATCATTTGTAATGATTTGTTTGTTCTTACTCTTTGTCTATTTTTCTATTTTGTTTGAATGTTTCATATTGAATTATATAACTCTTTGTATATGAGAATAACTTATTATTGGAGATAAATATATTTGTCTGTACTATAAAAAACAGTCTACAAGAAAATGTATGGCATATATACATACCTATATATAAAATATTTTCACTAAGTGTTCTTTTGACTGTTTATTATATTGTTTATTATAAAGGTCTTTTTTTTACTTTTATGTAGTTAAAATTTCTTAAAGAATTATTTATTTTATTTTATTAATTATTATTATTATTATTTTAAAATTTGACCAGAGAGAGAGGGAAAATGTGAAAGGAAACCACCAGGTCCAGGACTTGAACCATGTTTGGCTATGTGGGATTCCCGTGCCTCAAACACCATGCCACCTGCTGGCTCCCAAAATTGTACATTTTCTATTTGTAGCTTCTGATTTACATGTCTTCATTAGAAGTTTTCCTACTATGATATACCTTATCTCACTCTTAAAAATTATAAAAACATTAATTCCCGTATTTTACATATACATACATATGCCTTTAAATTAATATTTCATTCATTAATCCATCTGAATTTTGGTTTTGTGTATAGTGTGAGATATGATTTTTTTCTAATAGTCTTATTTTTCACTTGATTTTATTTACTTCCTCCTTGAGGGGGAGAGAGAGAAACACGCTCAAGGTTTTCACACTGGGGTCTCCCCCTAGTCTCAGTCAGCCTGAATCACTGGCACATGCATGTTTGCCTTGCATTTACAAGGAGGCCTCAGGATGCGAACCAAGGACCTTGTCATATGACTTCAGCACCAGGAAGGATTGTGTTACTATTGTGCCATGATGGCTAACCTCCCATTGATTTTAAATGTCATTGTTGACATTGTTGAATTTGGTATGGCTGTTGTGTGTGTGTGTTTATCCTCCACGTAGCTATTTCTTCATAGATTATCACAAGCACTGATTCTCGGGTGCATACTGAATCTAAAGAACAGGGTCATCAATTTCTGCGGTAAACTGCAGGAACATAGTAGCTTAGACCCAGTACTACGGAAGAATAAACTTTTTTTTTTTTTGGAGAGGGTTTCGCTATAGGGCGCGGGCGCTCGCCAGACAGAGAGAGACAGAGAGACAGAAAGCGAGAAATCACCCCCCCCAGAGGGGATGGTCACACCGCAATCCCTTCTCCTCCATTCTCCTCTCGGGATCTTGGGCATGCACGCACACGCACCCGGCGTGAGTTTTAAGCCACCAGGTCCGGGACATGAACCGCGGTCGACTACGTGGGAGTCCAGTGACATAGCCATTACGCTAACTGCTGGTTCCCACGGAAGAATAAACTTTTGGAGAGGTGTTTTTCGTTTTTTTTTTTTTTTTTTTTTTTAAATCATTGCAGGGGAGATTCTGTGTGTGTCGTTTTCAGTGAGAAATCCCCCCCAAGGAGGGATGGCCACGCGGCAATCCCTTCTCCTCCATTCTCCTCTCGGGATCTTGGGCATGCATGCACACACACACGGCAGGTTTTAAGCCCCCGGGTCCGGGACGCAAACCATTGTCGACTACATGGGAGTCCAACGACATAGCCATTACGCTAACTGCTGGTCCCAGGAAGAATAAACTTTGTAGAAAGAATGCCCTTCACCCAAACCCAAATTAACCACTCAGGGATGTGCTAGGGTTGACACCAGGTGCTAGCAAATGGTGATCAATTAGGTATACATCTAGATTCTCTGGAACTCTTAGGAGGCTCAAGAAAGAAAGTGGAGGGGGACCAGCAATTAGCGTGTGCGTGCATGCCCAAGATCCCAAGAGGAGAATGGAGGAGAAGGGATTGCGGCGTGGCCATCCCCCCTGGGGTGGTGATTTCACTTTCTATCTCTCTCTCTGTCTGGCGGCGAAAACCTCTCCAAAAAAAGAAAGAAAGTAGAGGAGACAGAACAAGCTTCTTGAAAAGCGTATTAGAATCTGATTCCCTGTTTATTGCAGTGTTACTCACAATTGCTAAGACATGGAACCAACCTAAGTGCCTAAAAACTGATGACTGGATTGGAAAAATATGGCACATATATACAATGGAATTACGTAACTATAAGAAACAGAGATCCTATTACTTGACTCAAAATGTATGAATACAGGGAACCAGCAGTTAGCGTAATGGCTATGTCGCTGGACTCCCACGTAGTCGACCACGGTTCGTGTCCCGGACCCGGTGGCTTAAAACTCACGCCGGGCGCGTGTGCGTGCGTCCCCAAGATCCCGAGAGGAGAATGGAGGAGAAGGGATTGCGGCGTGACCATCCCCCCTGGGGGGTGATTTCTCGCTTTCTGTCTCTATGTCTCTCTCTGTCTGTCTGGCGAGCGCACGCGCCCTACA